TCCAGGAGTTGCCCCGGCACGATGATGCTGGAAGCAGGACCAGAGCGGAGCTCCGGGAGTGGAGCTCACCTCGCCGGCTTTAGGTGCCTACATCTGAACTGGTCACCAGAGGCTCCTTTTTTAGGCCGGTACTACCAGGGCATGAAGCATCTGAACGATTTGGATGTCTGCGTTAGGATGAAATGAATCATGCCCTGAAAGTACCGACTTCTTCACGTTTACTATAAAGGGAGCCTGGGTGGTACCTCTGATGTAAAGTTGGGTAGGATGAATCGTGCAGCCAGTTTCTGCTTCAAGCAAGATGATCAGATAAGGTGTTCAGAAGGCACCTATATCAGGAATGTCAAACGTGGTTTTTCATAGGCTGGGCATTAATCTAGCATGTTAAGCAGTAATGCCAACTTAATGCTTCTTCTGCATTAAACCAGCGTAACTTATAGCACAAGGTGGGATGGCTGCAGTGGCCCGAGCGAGTGTCCCAGTCACAGAAGGCATGGTGCTGTGGTGCATAGCCCTGGCCGTGGGTGGCAGCTTTATCATGGTGCCTCCTCGCTGATTTGATGTGCAGTCTCTTTCCAGCTGCCTTCAGCGTTCTCCCTTTTCTCTCATTGCAGCTCCTGCCTTGCCCAGCACAGTTCGCCAGCGCCTGGTGGACCCACAGCATGCCCACGGATCTCAGAGGTTGGTAGAGAGTTATGTGCAAGGCCAGAATGAGTCGGGCCAACCTGCCCTTTACCGGGCAGGCAGAGTCTCTCTCCGTCGAATGCACAGCCTCTCCTCTGGACAGTCTTTCAGTTCCGACCTTCCCGGCACCAGCCCATCATCTGCTGCCACCACCACCTCTTCCACCTCTTGCTCCTCATCCACCACCACTGCATCTGCTCCTGCTTGCCATGTCCACCCTATCTATTACCATCACACCACCTCCTCTTATTTCCTTCAGATGGACTCCATCCCTGATCTGCCCCCTCCTGATGTCACCTCTGGAGTTCACTGTCGCACTGAGAGCTTTGGGTATATTGCTGTTTCTTTTCTAGCTCCCTCTTGCCTGCTGCGTCTCAGAGCTGATGCTTGCTCGGGTGCTCTTTCTCCTAGATTCCTTGTGCCTTTTCCTTTTGGGCCTTTATTTCATGATTTATCCACATTTGTTTCTTCAACCGCTCTCCCATGCCAGTGGACCCTCTAAGGAGTGCTCCATGGTCCATTCCCATATCTGCAAACTCAGTGGGTGCATAAGCAAGGAGGTGCTGTTGTTTAACTGTAGCTAAGCAAATGAGAATTCCTGGGCATTCAGTTATCGCTAAGTCAGTCAGTCTTTCACTTGGGTGATGCACCTGTGAGAACAAAGGTAACGCTACTAATCAAACAAACACTGACCTTATTTGAAGCCTTGACTTATTTGGGGTCTTCACAAGCGAATTGCAAACGAAACATGATGGATAGATACTATGAGATAGTAGTTGGTGCTGCCGGAGGGTTTGAAATTTGTGCTGTTTTTAAGAGGTGGCAAAAAGCAGCATTCAGGAATTTTGTGTTTCAGAATGACTCTCTACCTCTGTTTTGGTAGGGGATAGGCATGGTTGTGTTTTGGCTAAGGAACATCTAAATGAGGAGGGAATTGGAGCTTCTTATTGCTGGATCACTGGCTTTAACTTGGTCCCTTTCGGTAGTAACAGCCAGCAAGCAATGGCTCTTTGGAGACCCATGTACGATAGGATCCAAGGGACTGGTTATCATCCACATCCCTAAATCCCTGACCTCTCCTGGTTCACCATGCTGGCGTTGGAGAGGTAAAGGACTGGGTGGGCCATAGACGCGGGAATCCTGTCTGGTCTAACTGGGGTGTTGCGAGGGGGCCTCCAGCAGCCATCCCGAGTTCAGAAATGTTCTGTACCCCAAGCAGCGGATTGCGTTCCTCAGGCGGCCCAGGGTGGCTTTCTTCCGAACACGGTCCACGGGCCCCAGTTGTTGGAGGTCCTCGCCCCACGTGGGTCATGGATGCACCCTGCTCCAGAGCACTGTTTCAGCCTGCATCCATTCAGATGCTTGATTTAAACTCTCGGCTGAGGTGCGAGTGGGGTGTGTGGTTTGCGTGGTCTCTAGCTCAGGGGCGTTGCAGGCGCCCGGTGTGGAGGTGTCAGCGCTGAAGCCGACGGTGGAAGGGCTGTGATGGGCCATCAGGGAGTCCTGTCCTCCTGCCCTGCCGGGGAGCTGCCTGTGACCGTGGCCAAGTCATTTCATCTCTCTGTTCTGCACTTTCTCCTTGGTAAAATTAAAAACAGTCTCCTTTGCTCAGCGTTAGGGAACAGACTTCTGGGAAAAGGCTGGAAGTCTTTCAGTGAGGAAGTCGATAGGGGCAATGTCCCTTCACGTTTATTTATCCAGGCAGGACAACATTCCAAGTCACCACATCTTCATTCGTCCCAGCATGTTGTACATTATTCCTTTATCTCTAGGTACCTCTGCCCTTAGGCGTAGGTTCTCTCCTGACATCATTTACACAGTCTCTGTTTTGGATGTCTCACCCCCTCGCTAACTTGTCTGTCTCAAAGCCGGGCTGCCTGCCGGACCAGTGCATCCCTCAGCCTAGGCTGCGAGAAGCAGCGCCTGTAAACCCCGACCAGCCCCAGGCAGATTATGGATTTGGAGTATCGGGGCGGGGGAAAATGACTGCACCTGCTCCACAATGGACAATTAAAGGCAACGTCTTGGTTAATTTAGTAATGTTTGTTTTGGGATTATGAGAAGCAGCATAATTAAAATTTAGATTAATTACTGCTAATTTGAGTTCAGTTGCAGCTGTCTCGGTTTGACTGATAAAAGCTGGGAATGCTTCTGGTAACATCGCACAGTCCTTGTTTACCATTGACCTTCCTGTCCCTGTAGAAAGGAAGGCTTGTCCGGGGAGCTCGAAGGCTGATGTACTGTTTCAAAAATAGCTGTATAAACATGATTTTTTTTTTTTCAGCTGAGGCCTGTGATTACACTTAATTGCTGACCAGGTTAAAGTCTCAATCCTGCAGACTCCCCTGAGAGTGGCAGAGGGAAATGTGGTGTGACTTTGGGATCCCAGTTAGAAAAGGCAATGGTGCTGAGAGGTCATTAGGAGAGAATAACTGGGGTCTTCTCCTTATTCCCCACAGGCACTTAGTAGCTTGTCAGAACCTAATTGGTCACTGTTCAGTGTTCTTCCTGTTCCCATAGCAAAGACCACCTATTGATGCAGGATAATTGATTTAGCAATGGAGTTTTGCAGAGTAAGAACTTTTCACCTGAGATTTGCTTCAGCTACACAATAACAGACGACTCCAAAATCCATGCTCATCCATTCTCTGTTCATTTCAGAAAACAGAAATGAAGAATTGGGTGCCCAAATATGTTCTTATTTTGTTGCTTTTAATTTTTTGTCAAACTGTATCATTAGCAGATCCTGCTTAGATGCATTTCTAAAAATACTGCCACAAAGGCATACCACAGCGCAAGCCAATGTATTGCTCTTTCTCTTTTATATAACCAGTCTTGGAGGCCTTTACATACATCCCTCGAGCTCCACAGCCTCCCAAAGAGGCAAGCAGAACAGATGGGGAAGCTGAGGCTGAGAAAGGCCTTCCAGGGAGTCATTGCCAAGGACGAAAACGGAACCCAAAAAATTCCTGGCTCCTGGCTCCCTTGGTAGGAGGAGAGTGCTACCTTGAGTGCTTTGGGCTGCTGGATTGCTCTCGTATCCAGCAGATGCCAATGTTGGCGAGACCCCACAAGAGAAATCATCTCAAACAAGCCATTCCCCCAGAGAAAGGCTCGGAGATCGCTTCCCTCCGTGCAAGCTGTATACGGTGCCAAAGTCTGCTGGTGGTTAACCTGGTAGGGACCTTCTCTCCAGGCAAGGCCAGCGTGTGGCCGGCGAATTGCTTTCATGAACTCCTCACTGTTTGCTTCTCTTTTGCAATTGGCTTCAGAGGATCCGGTGCAAATAAGGTCAGAGCTGTTCTGATTTTGAAGGCTGATGTGTGTTTTTTAATGTTAATGAAGGGGACTGGGTGTCCCTGCAGGGGAGAGGGGTTGGAGGGTGCTGTGTGCACAGAGGTTTCTGCTGCCAGTGCCTGCTTCAAGTGGTACCCGTGGATAAATCTGACGGAGATGGGAGCGTAGGACCAAATCCCCACACTGGTGGCCCTTTTCCAACAGGGAAGGGAGGTGGCACCCAAAGCAAAAGGAAAGTGTCAGTCATCCAGTGAAAAGAATAATTCACGGCTCTTGCAGGATGGAAGGGAAGAAGTTACTGTTGGGTTTGCATTGTAGAGGCTGTTTCTAAGGCCCTGACTGTGCCATGCTGAGCACAGCAGAATCAGCCGTACAGCAAATCTGATTCTGCCTTAGGGGAAGCTTTTGCTGCCCTGGTGCCACATGCTAGCTAGGTATATAATGTTTAGCCTTGCAGCTATGGATGCTCTTGGTAAAGGGCAGGGAGTGGTCGAGGCAACAAGGTCTGTATGAGGCTGGTAGACCAAGCCCTGCTTTAGTGTCAAGTGCTCTTGAGCCACTCCTAAGCTTTCCTACAGCCTGTGTCCTGGATCGTACAGACAGCAGAGCCCACCAGGAGAGGTCATTCAAGGAGCTGCAGAGTTGAGGAAAAATAAATATTTATTCTGTATCATCCTCCTCTCTTTCTCCACTATTACCAGTCTTTTTTTACTCCATGCTTTGCTCTCTGCTTCTTTCGTTTGCAAAATCAGTCCATTCCCATTTTCCCACCCTCTCTTATTCACTGTGGTCAGTTTGGATTCTGGGAGTGGCATGGTAGGAAGCGCAGGTGAAAGCAGCAATGCACGCATCCTGCCTTCACATAGGTTAATGCCGTCAGCTTCGGTCTCCGTAGATTGTAAGTGTGCCCAACTACATCGAAAAAGTGGTGAACCCTGCGGCAGAGCAGCTGGGATCGAGAAACGTGCTGTCTTAAGTGAGGCTCCCATGTATGTTCATGTTCAATTGGTGGTCTGAGGTTTTCAGGAGGGATGAATGTTCGGTGGTTCCTGCTGCACCGCAGAAGCACTTTCTCTGAAGGCACCTTCCCGTGACGCCATCGAGGCTGGCTGTGCCCTGGGCCAGCGTTTCCTCCTGAAAATGTGCCATACCGATTCAGGAGCATAAGCCTCATGAAAATGAGCAGGATATAGGCCAGCCCTTTTGGCTGAGCCTCACCCAAGACGACCGGCAATATCCTGGCAATGTTCCTTATCCCTTCTTGTCCCAGCCCTGGGCTCGGGAGCATCCCCTCCTCCTTGCTCTCTCTGGCAAAGCCAGCTGCATCCAGGGAGTCATGTCCCTGTGGGCGCACACCTCCCCTGTCCTGCGCTTACCTGTGGGAACTGCCAGAAAGGATCCTTTTGGGCTGTAGAAAGTCCCAGCAAAACTTTCCAGCTGCTGGTGTTCAGTTCTGAAAATCAGCCTCTGCCCTTGGTGCCACAGCGGGGGCTCAGGAGGTCCCTCTCTGCATGTGCCTCAGTGTCCTGGTCCATCGGTTGTCGGGGCGGGTTAATGGCCCAGCTGGCCCCTTGGGTCGTCCCCTGCTGCTGCCCGGCATGGTGAGCGCTCTGCCACGTGCTGGCACATCTCGGCTGCCGTGGGTTCAACCGCAGCTTCGCAGAGCAGCGTGGGGGCTGCTGCTGCTCGGGGTCTTCTCTGCTGCCCACCACTGATGTGCCACTTGGCGTGCTGGTGTCAGCAGTCACGGTGTCTTGCCTCTACCCTTCAGGAGTATATTCCTGAGTTACAGCTGGATAAATTATGAATAAAATGGGTTAGCCTAGCACCATTGGGATACTTGAAAAGTGCGTGCTTGTAGGCTGTTTCCCCCCATCCGCTCCTTCAGTCCCCTTCTGGACAAGCAAACCAGTGTGCCCAGGGAGAAAAAATTGTGGTCCAACAAGGTTGGACCAAGCGCAGCACCCAGCACGGTGCCGGCCATCTGCTCCAGGGCAGGGCATCCCCAGGGAACAGCAGGGACAGCCACGCCT